GTATATTACGTTTTGCTGTAACGCAGTAATATAACGCATTACTAATAAAATTTGGGTAATATTATTACTCGTTACAATCTCAGTAACGCAAGTTACAGCAGCATATTTTAACTAAATTAAGTGGTGAATTTACTAACACTGCAAAACAGCTCCAGAGAAAAAATTCCGCAGGTAAAATAGTTTGTCTATCTTCTGTTGCTGGAATTAGATGGTTGAGATGACTGCAGAGACAGATTCTACATTTGTGAGATGGACACACTCCTGTTTCAGTTTATCGGAGAAAAGGATAAGAATGCTTAGCAATATGTGCCATGGATGTTATAAACAGTGTTGGGAGTAACGCATTACAAAAGTAATAATATTAGTAGTATATTACTTTTTGCTGTAACGCAGTAATATAACGCATTACTAATCAAATTTGGGTAATATTATTACTCGTTACAATCTCAGCAACGCAAGTTAGAACAATATATTTTAACTCAAAATTAAGTGGTGAATTTATTAACACCGCAAAACAGCACCAGAGAAATAATTTCGCGGGTAAACTAGTTTGTCTATCTTCTGTTGCTGGAATTAGATGGTTGAGATGACTGCAGAGACGGATTCTACATTTGTGAGATGGACACACTCCTGTTATTTTCAGTTCATCTGAGAAAAAGATAAGAATGCATATAGTCAGGTGCAAAATGTGCAACACCAAACTCTCAACATGGAGAAATAGCACGAGTAAAACCTGGAAACACCTGGACTGGTGCCACTAACACTAAAAGCTATCGGAGAGAGCTGCGGGGTCAGAGAAGAGAAAAAGGCGCCTCACGTACACACATACAGCATTGCAAACGTTGCAGCCTGTTCATTATCAGAATAAAATAGTCAACCAAACGTATAGATACACTGATTAATTTAAAATGACTGAAAGTAAAGTAAAAGTAAATAGTGCATACTGCGTACAATCCGTGCCTGCGTATTGTTTGTACATTATAACATTTTGCTTTATTTACTGGTGTTATTTATTATTATTATGAATGTAATAATGCGGTTTGTGCTTATCTGTGTTTAACCTAAACTACAACGTAACATTAATGTAGACCTACATACCGGCATCTAAATATGATTTTATAATTTTATTCTATATAGCCCTATCACATTACCCTCCACTGGATGTAGAATGAGCAGCAATAAACTACATTTTGGCATTTTATAATTCTAATGTGGATATTTTGGTGAAAGTAACTCAAAAGTAGTGTAACATTACAATTCAGAGACAGTAATATTGTAGTGTAACTAATTACTTTCAAAAGACAGTAACTAGTAATTTATAATGTATTACATTTTGGAAGTAACTTGCCCAACACTGTTCGTTGGTAGTTGTGTGTGTGGGGGACGAGAAATGCTGTAAACTGCGAAAATGAAGTCTCAAAATCCAAATGAACCGAACAAGATCAACTCGAACTAGACGTCAATTAATGCACGCGTGTCACCTGATCCCCATATGCACAGATTCCTTTTTGCATGAGCAATTTATGATATATTAATGCAGAACAGAACATTTTTATTCACAAACATATCTTTATTTGTACAAATCGCTGCACAATCATTTAATCCCGAATTTCACAAATTTAAAGGCATTTGTTTGTGGTTAGTAAGATACATGCATAAAATGTATGCAGTACATGGATAATGGTGCGTGCATCTATTAATCATTTAGAGTCTAATATCATCCCATACCTGTCACCAGGTGCTACATCACTTTTACCTGCTCTTTTTCAATCTCAATGCATTACATGGATAATGGTGCGTGCATCTATTAATCATTTAGAGTCTAATATCATCCCATACCTGTCACCAGGTGCTACATCACTTTTACCTGCTCTTTTTCAATCTCAATCATCTTCATGAAGAATGTCTTCGTGAAGGGTCTGTGTTCATGTAAGCTGAAACCCAAGAGAAGAGGTTGTTTTTAAATTGCTTGTGCCTTATTTGTAGATATACAGTGGTGTCCAAAAAGTTAAAAAACAAACTGAAAATAACATTTCAGTATTTGTAAAACAATTATTTTAAATAAGAACAATGCAAAATAATAAATATTTTTACTAGTGGCTTCAGCCTTTCAGGCCCCACCATAGAGCACAGCTTCATTTGATGTGTACCTTGTGAATGTTTTTCTAGCCCTTTTGTAACCACCAGTTTTATATGGCCATTCAAGGTATTTTTCCTTCATGGCAGATGACACTGCAGGTACTGGAGACAGAAGCCCGTTCTGCAAGTACAGGATCAGGAGCAATTTAAATACATTAACTACATTAGAATTCAAATTAATCATTAATCTGATTGCCTTTATGTCAACCATAATCAATTGGTCTTGGACGAGTTTTAGTGCAAACATTTTTTTCATAAGTCATGTCTCACCTGAAAAAAGGTCTCTGTGTCCTCTGGTATCTGTGAGGTCATGCTCCAATCTGCCTGCAGCTGCCATAATGGCAGACTTTCCTGTAGAACATATTATAGACTGATTATTAAATATATCTTTGGGTTAAAACTCCCTATACCACAGTGAAAATATATGAAGGTTTCAATGAAAAGTGAAAATAAAAATTAATATATATGAAGAGTTCATTTTCAAAAACATAACTTTTTAACAATTTTCCAAAATCATGTTTTTTCATTATGCATTCCAATTAATCTCAATCAAACTGCAGTTGGGTTATTTTGATTAGGTAAAAAAATAACTAAAAATACTAACGAAATAACACAATAAAAACATAATAAAAACCTTTAAAAAAAACAATCTGTTTTTGCAAATAAACTCTTCTCACATACATACATACATACATACATACTTGTGACATTTGACTCTTGGAACTCATTTGTACAATTCAAGTCAATTTCCTTTCTTTCAGTGAAGTACAAAAGATGTTCTTTGGAACATTCTCAAATTGGATAATCAGGTTTTGCACATTTTTGAACATTTTGAACATTTATGCTTTACACGGTCAAAGAAATTCTGAAATTCATGTACAATTGTCTTGCTGATAATATAATTCATGAAAACAAGAGCATTTGCACTACTGCTACAAGGATTTGGACCTCATCGTATTATATTACATTTCATTACAGTAATGGGTTCCTTCACTTTTCTCCCTTAATATCTCTAATTCCACAAGAAACTGACAGAACCATATTGTTTGGACAAAACAAACACAAAGATATGAAGGACCGAGAAATGAAACAGGACAATTATGCATGCGGATATCGGATATATAGCATCATGTTCCCATGTGGTTGGATAACGGCCTCTTTGCCGGGTTATGTAACTACAGGCTTCATAATCCAGCACACATGGTTATTTCTCACTAGCTGGTTTACAAAGAGCACTGAGGACAGAACTGAGCAGAGGCTTAACTACAGTTATCTGTAGGAATTCTTGTAGCTGAAGCCGTAGAGCATGGTGCTAGCAACACCAAGGTCAGGGGTTCAATTCCCAGGGAATGCATTAACTGATAAAACTGTACGTCTTAAAAGCATAAGTGCATAAATTTACATTTAGTCATTTAGCAAACGTTTTTATCCACAATATCCTTTTATTCCACGACTTACAAAGTAGAAGCAGTCAGACCAATGAGAGAGCAACAATATACAAGTGCTGTGACAAGTCTCAGTCTAGCACAGTGCACATAGCAAGGTGTTTTTTTCTCTTTTTTTATATAAATAAATTAGACCGAATGGAATGGAATAGAATAGAATAGGTAAGTGCTAGTATTAATTGGTCAGGTGATGGCGAAAAAGAAGTGTCTTTAGATATTTGTTGAAAATGGCTAAAGACTCAGCTGCTCGGATTGAGATGAGTGATTTTGTGCTTATTTGGGATGGCACCACGAGGCGTCGTTTACTTGCAGAACGCAAGCTTCTGGAGGGCGCGTAGGTCTGAACTAGCGAGTTTAGGTATATTGGTGCAGCGCCAGTGGTTGTCTTGTAGGCAAACATCAGTACCTTGAATTTGATGCAAGCGGCTACTGGTAGCCAGTGCAAGCTAATGAAGAGAGGTGTTACGTGAGCTTTCTTCGGCTCGTTGAAGACCACTTTGGCTGCTGCATTCTGGATCAATTGCAGAGGCTTGATAGTACGTGCAGGAAGGCCTGCCAAGAGAGCATTACAATTGTCCAGCCTGGAGAGAACAAGAGTTTGGACAAGGAGTTGTGCGGTCTGCTCTGTTAGGAAGGGTCTAATCTTCCTAATGTTGTATAAGGCAAACCTGCAGGACTGGGCCATTGTAGCAATATGGTCTGTGAAGCTTAACTGATCATCCATCACAACTCCAAGGTTCCTGGCTGTCCTGGAAGGAGTTATGGTTGACGAACCTAGCTGTATAGAGAGGTTGTGATGAAGTGCTGGATTGGCTGAGACCACGAACAGTTCTGTCTTAGCAAGGTTGAGTTGAAGGTGATGATCCTTCATCCAGCCAGAAATGTCTGTCAGACAGGCTGCAATGCGAACAGCTACTGTCGGATCATTTGGTTGAAATGAGAAGTAGAGTTGAGTGTCATCAGCATAGCAATGATATGAAAAGCCATGCTTCTGAATGACGGATCCTAAAGATGACATGTAGATGGAGAAGAGAAGTGGTCCAAGCACTGAGCCTTG